CAATATGCGTTTTTGCTGGCTGTAGCAGCGCTATAGCGCTGCACAGCAAAAACGCATAAAAACGTGCACGATCGAATCCCCCCTGCGGCACTAACAAAATGCATTTTGGGGTACTAAGTTCACTGAAAACTCCACACTGCTTTTGTTTAATGTCTCCAGATGCGATTTTGAAAGGCCAAAGTTCCAATGCGTATAGTTACGGTCTGCCACCATCTGTGATAAAGCAAGGATCCCCTACTCTGAATATTTCAGATTAATGTGCAGGCCTTACTTTTCCCTTCTTAGATTCTTTTTTTGAAATTTCTTAACTTTAAGACAATGATTTCAATGGATCATTTGTGGAATAAAAATCTGTCGAAAAAAAAGGTGATTCTGCCGAAACTGTCAACAGTAAGTTCAAGGTCAAAGGTTCGTTCGCTCAATGCCACTTTATTAAATCAGCTTTTGACGTCTTACGTTCAAAAAAAAAATCATTTTTTGCACTTTGATTAAATATTTTTATTCATGCTTCTGAGACGATTCAAATTTTAATTTGTGTAATACGAAGTGAGCAAAATGGCAATTTTAACTTGTGTAATACGAAATGAGCAAAATGGCACTGCACAGAGCAATACTGGCTGCAATCTACTTGTTGTGCAGCCCTACTTCGTTTGGGGGTTTCCACATCGATTGTATAGGTATAGCGGAAATGATTGTTCTTTTTTTTTTTTATTATAATAGTCCAGTAGCTAATATGTATGCGTTTTTGCCATGCAGCGCTAGAGCGCTGCAATAGGTAGCAAAAATGCATGTTGCAACGAACCTGTCTGCGTGTTTTTATATGTGTGTGTTCGTCCGTTCGCTTATTTCTGTCCAGTAACCGCGCAAACTTTAGTGCTGAAATTCTGTCAGTGTGTCTGCTGGCCAACTGCGAACCCAAGGACACGATATCAACTACCCCGCATGTGTACGCCTCACGTACGACCACGCGAAAGTTTTGGCAGGAAAACTGCCAACTCAGGAACAACAAAAGCTAGAAGAATGGAATTTTTAGGGGACGTCCATTACTCATTTTCAACTAACAGATTTCAAATTCAGTTCTTTAGTACTGTGCGGATCTCAGTTACAGATATATGAGGATTCTGGCGGGAAAACTGTTGTCTTGGGACCGAGAAAACCTAGAAAGCTGAAATTCTGGGGTAATGTTCCCTTTCCATATGCGACCAAAAGATTTCAAATTCAGCTTCTTAGTACGCGCGAGACTCACGTAAGGACAAGTGAAAATTTTGATGTAGGAATTGCTGAAATTCCTAGGTCAGGGACCAGAAGAGCTAGAACTCTGAAACTCTAGGGTAATGTTTCCGTTTCACATGCAACCAAAAGATTTTAAACTCAGCTTCTTAGTACACCTGAGCCTCACGTAAGGAGAAATGAAAATTTTGGCGAAGAAATTGCTAAAATTCCTAAGCCAAGGATAGAAAGCTGAAATTTTAAGGAGCTGTTTTCTGGCACATGCCAAAAAATTGTTTTAAATTCAGCCCTCAGGTATGCATGATTCTCGACGCACGAGCGCGTGAAAGTTCCGGCACGAAAATTGCCAGCTCGGGAAGCAGAAAAGCTGCAAAACTGAAATTTTAACAGGATGTTTCTCGTCCAAATACAGCGCAGCGATTTCAAACTCGGCACTCAGGTGCGCCTGGGGCTCACGCACGAATGCGTGAAACTTTTGGCGGAAAGAGTACCAGCTCGGGAACCAGAGAAGCTGGAAAATCACAATTTTAATAGAATATTCGCTGTCTAAATGCATAAAAATGCTCATACGCGATTCCTTACCCATGTACGATCAAAAGATTTCAGATTCAGCTCCTTAGGACCGTTTGGATCTCAAGTGCGGATACTTGAAGGTTTTGGCGGGAAAATTACTGACTTGGAAACAAGGAAAGTTAGGATGAATTTTAAAGAAATGCTTTCTATTCATGTACGAATAAAAGATTTAAAACTCAGTTCCTTAATGCCTCTGCGTGCCACGTACGAACGCGTAAAAGTCCGACATAAAAATTACCAACCCAGGAACCAGAAAAGCTAGTAAGTTGAAATTTTAAGGGGTGCTCTCTAGCCGCCTGCAACCAGAAGATTTCTAACTCAGCTCATTGATGCTTCTGGACTTCACGTACGAACACGTGAATTTTAACATGAATTTTACTAACTTGGAACTTTAGGGAGACCTTCAAGACCAGGACTGGTCTGGCTTTCATTATGGGTATCCTTTGACATCGGCAACTGACACACCACATAGCTGTACAATTAACTTCCTAAACTTTGAGTACCAACGTGCCGAAAATTTCAGCTGCTGAGAATCCAGGCGATCTTATTACAGAATGAAATAGTGCAAAAACGCGTGATCGCACCAGCCCGCCTGTTGAGCATCGCCAATGATTTCACAGTTGTGGGACAAGGAAGCGTAAAGTGAGTGGAAGAGCAGACGGCGGAGAAAACATACGATTCGTTTCAATTGTACTAGCACGCATAGCTCTTGAATCGAGTTTATGCTTTTATGCGTTTTTTGCATCTGTGCAATGCAAAAAACGCATATTGTCGAAGGGTTGTCTACGCGTGCGTCTGTACCGAGTTCTCATCTCGAGATCTGCAAACGGGTGAAACAAGACAGGAACTTTGGCAACTTGATCTGCACATACGTAAGGGCCCCTGTCAAAATGGACGCTCACGTCTACGTGGTTCTCGTGTGTGGGTGGGAAAGCGTTTTCGGGAGCGGCGCAAGCTAGAAGGCTAAAGTTCCACAGAGGCATTCCTTGGTCACGTCTAATCCAAAGATTTCAAATTAAGCCTTCATGCACCCCCAAATCTCACGTGCGCACGCGTTAAATTTTAAACTGGAATCATGCCAACTCCAGGTTTAAGCTGACCAAGAATTTGTAGAAAATTGTAATTTTGCAGCGTTGCTTGCTGCCTACTGATGTGTCCGTGAAAGTAAATTGAACTTTTAGCCCCTCTGCATTTCATTTACGAGACAGTGAAATTTTCATGCAGACAGTTTTGTAACTTCAAAGCTGAAGTAGCTAGAGGGCTGAAACTTCCTGATCATAACAGACGGTGGCGTTTGACCAGGTGGACGTATAAAGACTTTCACGTCGCTCTCGCGTCTCACATACGCCTCACGTAGGCACACGTAAAATTTGACGTAACTCCGCAACCAAAACAGCTAGAGCGCTGAAATTTTCTGAATTTGACCCAAGCTCGTGCTTGAGCAAGCGCACGTAAAAACAGCATTCATCTTTCTCCCATGTACGGACACGTGAAATTTGATATAACACCGCAGTCAGAGCAGCTGGAATGATGAAATTTTCTGAGCTTCGTCGTAACTGCCTAAGAAGAGCAGCTGAAATCCTGAAATATTCGAGGAAGCACTGGGAGTCACTGTAATAATTTTTGACATTCATGACGGCCAGTCTCAATTCCTTCAGTTAGAAGCATTTGGCGTGAATGAAGTGCCGTTAGCAACAAAAATCCGCGGAGGAACTGTACAAAAAACGCATCTTCGAATCGGCAATCGGTGCGGTGGTTTATGATTTTTTTTTCTCACGAAGTATTTCAAATTATCGGTCATTGTTTGGGTTGGTAGCTGCGTGTACGCTCTTCACCCGCTTTCTTGCCAAAACTTTCGAATGCAATCGTCATCTCAACCCGAATGCAAATGTTTCGGCTTTACAATACTTCGCATTCCGTCTACGCGTGCCCGAATTAGGATTTTGTAGGGAAGAAAATACTGATAAATATTAAATTTAGGCCCCAAATAGAATATAGTCCTCAATTTAAACTTGCTTTGAGTTCTTTTGCCAGTGATTCTCTTTTTTTTGAATAGATCTTTCCATCTTCTGAAAACTCCTCTGAAAAATATTCCATGGCAATTATTGATTGAATAACTGGCCAGAGCACTGATTGCCGGTGCGGAAATGCGTCTTTTGCATAGTTTCCCACAGGTTTTTGCCGCTAACGGCACTGTTTTTTCCAACAGACGCTTCTAGTGAATTGAAATTGGCATTAGGACTATCAGAAAACATCCCCTTAAAATTTCAGCATTCTAGCTTTTCAGTTTCCCAAATTAACAACTTGCCCGCAAAAAAATTTCACGGACCTATACGTGGGAACCACGCATGCCTAGGGATTGGATTTGAACCCCTTAAGTTCTATGTAGACGGAAAACATCTCCATAAAATTTCAGCTTTCTGGCTTTTCTGGTTCCCGAATTGGCAACTTTCCCGCCAAAAATTTTGACAACCTCATGCGTGGGAACCGTTTGGATAAGAGCGCCCATTTGGGGATGAAGACTTGAACGTGCATGTAGATTAACTTCCCAAAGTTTCAGTCTTGTAGCTTTTGTAGGTCTCGAGACGAAAAATCGGTACCGACAAGCACACAGACACACACAGACAACCCCTCAATAATATGTGTTTTTGCATTGCATATATGCAAAAAACACAAAAAGTAAGTCCAGAAGCGATTACCAAAGTGCAAAGAAAATTCCCTACTGTTAATGCAGAATTTGAGCTATACTGCACGTGAGTTCAAAACAGTCTACGAATGCTGATAGTGTTCCAGAGTGAGCAAGATGATGAAGTATCGGTAAACGTGGAAGTGGTGGAGCAGAAAGTGTTGGATCCCAAAATGTTAGATGTGGCAACAGTAGCATGGATGATCATGTTCGGCTCTTCTGCTAATAATTTTGTCGACGGGATGAGTAATGGTGCTGCTTTTGCCGATTCATTCGCCCGCGGTCTTTCCGTTGGAATTGCTGTTATTGCGCAGCAGCTGCCACAGGAAATCGGTATATATTCCATCCGTCGTGGAAGCACTTGTGGCTACTGGTAGGAGTACAAATGAGCTGCCTTGAGGGATGCATTTGAATCGCATTTTGCATTTGTTTAACAAGACTAGTTTACTGCAGGAAAAAAAGACTGTTAGGCCGAGAGCCAAGTCGGCATATATTACTGCACACGTGCGTTTGGTGCGGATGTACCTAGGCTGGCTGTTGAAGCATCATGAAAACAAGACGGTGTGGTAGCATCGTAACTGAGGTCTTAGTCTGGCAGAAACTAATGTTAACCTTTTTTCTCACGGAATGAAGCTGCAGCACTCGAGACCATCTGTAGCTGTATCGTTTAGTCACCTAAGATTATTGGCAATATTCCGCCCATCACTTGCCAGTGTGTTGCCTGTGGAGGGTGCGGGATGTACTTGCTCTTTTTTATTTTCTTCATTTCCCTACCCTATAGCTTGCGCTTTGCGTTTTTACATTTTTTGGTTATTTTTACGGTGCTTTGCTACGTTAGCTTCTAATAATCAGATTGACAGTAATGTACTGCCGAGCTTTTGCCGCACAGTATGAAATACGGCGTCTTTTCATTATGCTTGAGCTGAAAGAGTTTGCACTTCGAAATTTCTCGGCGCTACTTAATCCGCTGCACCCCCACGTCACGATGAAGTTCTTCAGAAGTATTCTGTTGAAGAAAATTTCTTCGCAGTAAGTAATTTATTCAGTCCTGTGTGTAGTTTGATGCTTCCGGTTAACTGTGTTTCACTTATTAGTTCGCAATATACAATTTCATCGAGCTAGCCTTCTGATTTTCCTTTAAAATATGTCAGTACCTGTATCCAGAAACGTACCATGGTTTTTTTCGAAGAGACGTACTAACATATTTGTGGGGCGAATAGAAAATAGTAATAAAGTTTTTGTGTATTCAAAACAAAGTGGTGATCGCACAAATTAATAATGGATGAAATTTTAAAAGCTGTGCTATTCCCGTTTTGATTATCAAAAGTAAGACAGCGAACTGTTTCCTCCGCTAATAACTTTATGTTGTATAATTTCATTTGCTTGTAACATTATCGTGGACTTATTGGTAACACTTGGTCTAGGAAAAAAAACAACGTGGAATGACAGGGCTTATAGAGAACAGATGACGAAGTTCACTGATTTTCCTGTGATTTTCTTTTTCACACCAGACTTTCCTTCAGCGCAAAAAGTGATCTCTGTATGCAAGGAAAAATTCAGTGATGTTGCATCATTTAGGAACTCTGGCAATACTAATCAAATCCGGTCTTGGATTCAAAAGGACGCTTTTGATAATGGTGTTCCCAAACTCGCTCAGCTATCTAGGCTTTATTATTGGTGTAACGATAGGTAGTGCTGGTGATGTTTATGCGAGTTATGTGTTCGCCGTATCATCCGGCATGTACCTTTACATATTTCTTGGCACTCTGGTACGTTTAGCTTCATGTTAGTTGACAAAAAGGAGTCATCTCAGCGAGAAAGTGTTAAAATATATTGCAGAAATGCAGATAGAAGAGGACAGAAATTCTTGGATGTTTTAGGTGTTTAATAGAAAACTGAACTTTTCGACTCAATGTTTCTAGCTACAGAAAAGTGCGTATGAAAATCTGAAATTATTCATCTCAGCTGCTTTTCTGAACAGTAACTCGGAGGGACTCCTTTAATTCGGGTTTTAGGCCGAAAGTAAAAAGCTGTATAAGTGTTCCTTATTTGCGGGCCTGTTAGCCTAGAATAAGCCTAGAATAAACTTCTGCTTCGCATGTGGAACGCCAATAGCTCTCTCTCCCCCGTGCTTGAAAGAAAGCACCAATGAAAACATTTCTGACATAACTACACATATTAAGCCGTAAAGCGGAGGGCCCGTTAACTGTTAATTCCTTACTGTTAACTATCTTTCTGCAACATGAAGCAGGAAAAAACGCAGGATTGCATTAGCACCCCTAATGCAGGCAACACTTTTTATGCGTTTTTGCTGTGCAGCGCTATAGCGCTGCTACAGCCAGTAAAAATGCATATTGTCGAGAGGCTGTGTATGTGTGTGTGTGTGTGTGTGTGTGTGGAAGTGAGTGCATTTTGTCACCCACTTTCATCTCAGCAGTCAGGAAAGCTGGGAGGCTGAAATTTCGGGTATATCTTCCCACCTCGTGTGTCACCCTCCCGTTTTAAGATTTTTCCTCACACGCCCTTAGACCCCGCGTACGGGCCCCTCAAAAAAATATGCAGATTTCTTTGGCGGGAAGCGATTTCACGAATCAGGCAAGGCACAAAGCTGTAACTTTGCAGGACTATTCTCTGCGTATGTGCGAGCTAAAGACTTCAAATTCAGCTGCCGCGCACGCTTGTGCAGCGCGTACGATCACGTCAAAGTTTGCGACTTCGTACTATGTTAACTCGAAAACGTGTCGGAAAACTGGCTGAAATTTTGTCTCCCATAGAGAAAATGGAATGCCTAAAATGAGTACCGATTTGCACTTACGCCACGACATGGGGCACTTCAAAGATATTTGTAGCAAAGTGGATATTTCGCTTGCCGCATAAGCTGCGAGGCTGAAAATTCGCTGGGACATTCTACTTTCAAGTGCGGTTTTATTTGGAGGTGAAATTCCCTCTAGGTAGACGTGAGAAATACTCAACTTTACCAAAAAATCAGGTTGCGTTTTGCAGCAAACGACCGCCCTCACTCAAACATTCAAATGAACATTAGTTCATCTGCATAGTTGGATTTTTTCACAAATGACCGCTCGAGCAATACTTCCACTTTTTAGTGAACTGGAAATTTACATTTTTTCAAAAAATTTGCATTTTTATTCCTTTGTTTACTAAAAAAACGACCGAGCTTCATGCGAAAAACTGGTAATCATGTACCTGCAGGTCAGTGCGGCTCTACAACGCAACTCCCTCATCTCAACCGATGCCCATTCTGCTGCATGCCGGAAAAAGCCAAAACATGGCTAATATGAGCCCAGTTGTTTGGCTACAGCGCAGGAATTACTCCTGCTATTAGCGACCTGCGAGTTTGGTGCGAAAACGTGTGACCGCACCGGCAAGCCTGACGCATTCCAGCCTGGGTTTTTTATGCGTTTTTGCTTAATATGCAAAAACGCATATTGTGACGACCCCGGTGTGCATGTGTGTGTGTGTGTGTATGTGTGTGAGTGTGTGTGTGTGTGCGTCTGTTCGGGTATTTCAACTCGGCACCCTAGCAAGCTCCGGCGCCAAAATTTTGGGAGTGGGTTCCCG